CTCTCTCTCTCTCTATATATATATATATATATATATATATATATATATATATATATATATATATATATATATAGGTTTAGATTGTGATAATGAATTTAGGTTATATTTGTGTGCTCAGAATTTACACTCACCTCACACTTCAGCTATTATCAGGTACACCTGAACACCAAAAAATAAAATCTACAGTTAGTGACAATATACAATTAGTTCTCATTAGTAAATGTTAGCACTGCATTAACACCAGTGAGAAATACACAGTATGTACTGTGTTAGTGTTAGTTTAAAAGAATACAACTGAATTGTATTATAAGCCTCATTTAATAAAACAGTTAAGACTTGTTTCATAATGAGTTTATTTAACTAACTTAACGTTAACGTTACAGTGAACAAAATTAACGTACATGATGGTGACTAACCGTAACGTTAACTTAAGAGAAGGTCAAAGCTTACCTTAACTTTAGTCATTTCACCTTTACTTCAGTCTTGTACTGAAACAGAAAATGCAGTTAACAAGAAGTTAATTAAAGAAAATTCCCTTTCTTTTTTCAGGAACTAACGTTAACGTTATGCTAATACCTCAGAAAACACTACAATCACCATCTGGCGTCGTTAATTTCTTGTTTTAAAAAAAGGCGCGCTTAAACCCTGTAACTTACGTGCGAGTACAACTGAGATACTCGGTAAATTCCTGTTAAATGACATGCAATATACAGAAATACACATACAACAATCATTTAACGGACAAAAGTCATATTTTAACACTTACCGAGGATGAATCCGTTGGGTGAAGAGACGACGCGTTGTCTGTGGTGATGGCGCTTGTTTGCGGTTGAGTCGAGTCAGTTCTATTAAATGAATCGGCTCCTTTAAGTGAACAGTAAAGAGTCGAATTCGGCTCCTTTAAGTGAACAGTAAAGAGTCGAATTCGCCTGAAAACGATTCCGTTTTGTATAATTTGTAAGACGCAAACATATAATTCATTAATATTTCATCATATTGCTTGGTTCGTGTACTGCTTGTACACAAATTGCTTGTTGATGACTATGAGCTCATGAACACGTCTGATAAAATATCTGAATCTGATTCAATTTCACACGAGTCCTGAACCGAAGCAGTGCAAAAGTAATATATTGATTGAAATATAAAGTAATTATTTTCTTCGCCATTCAAAATATTACATATCTCTGATTTTAACAATAAGAATAAAGTTCGTTTGGAGTGTATTAATTGAGAATTATTATTTTTTCCTCCCAGGATTCATTTTGCACCAAGCTGCATCAAGCTGTAATGGTGGATGAGAAGGCACATAATATTATAAATATTGCTTGTAATATGTAATGAAATAAAGTTTTAACACTTTTTCATGCGAGAATGTAGTTCTTCAAAACTCAAATCTGTGGATTGTTAGTAAAGATTGTGTGTAATTTTAAGTGTGTTTTGCCGTTAGCGGAGATCTATGACCTCCAGGCGGTAACGGCGCTCATTACTCATGTATCCGCCGAGAGGCGCCTGTCTTCAGGCTAGACATTGGGACAATTGCCCCGTCTTCGATGGCTCTTTATGCGTCCGAAAATGAAGTTTTAACTGTTTTTCATGCTAGAATGTAGTTGGTTAAAACTCTAATCTGTGGTTTATTTATATAGATAAATTTTTTTTATACATATATATTTAATTCTAAATTAAAGATTAGTGACCTCCAGGCAATGACAGGTGCCCAATACTCATGAAACCGTCTAAAGCAGACATTTACCCTGACATTGAAATAATTGTTGGCTGTTTAACAGTCTTTGGTTTCATTAATTAATTACTTTTTATTCCAGTTTATTATGTTTTGGCTAAGCACACAGTTATGTTAAATGTAAATGTTTATTAAATATTATTTCCTATTCTATGTTAACTGTATAAAATTAAATAAAAGTGCAGTACAACCAAAAAGATGTTGGTAACCAAATCGTTTTGGGGGCTATAACATTATATGTTATTATCTGTTAAAAGTTCATTTGTATTAATTTCTATGTTGAATTAAAAAAGGTTTGAATTTCTATAACTAACGTGCAAAAGATATAGCCCTTTTCACAGTAATTTGCTGTAATCATGCTACCTGCCGTAATTTCACAATAAAATTATGAATACAACATATTACTGTGAATTTTTCAGTTAAATACTGTGAAGGGATACTAATGTAATTTACTGTGGAAAATTACAGTAACTTGTTGTGAAAACCTGGAAATTTTTTACAGTGCAGTCCAAAATTATGTTAATTGTGTTTTTAATTTGTATACTCTTAAAATAAATTCACATATTTTATTTTTATTTACAAAGTTCTAGGCAGAATTGGCAAAAATCTCCTCAGAATCTGTCTGACCCTGCTAATAATCAATCATTTCCACACGCTAAAGACTTCAATCCAATTCCCCTGAACCAAATCGACCAATCAAACTTCGCCACATGTTGGCGACTACCTATCAGCCAGTGCATATCTACTGTAGTGACCCTCATTTCTAGCACAGGACCTCAATCTTTTTGGAAACGGTGAGGTGTGTTATTCTGAACGCAGCATGTGGCTCACACTGGTGGCCCTCCTGGCTCTATGTGCCACTGGGAGAACAGCTGAAAATCTTTCAGAAAGCACCACTGACCAGGACAAGCTTGTTATAGCCAGAGGAAAGCTGGTGGTGAGTGATTGATGCAAGGCTTTTTTTTTGGTTCAATGATGTAACACAACTTTTAATTAGTGTCGAAGCTAAATACATGTCAAATATGCAAATAGAAATGCTAACACTACACTGTAAAAATATCTGTAAATTAGCTGCTCTGTATTTTATGATTCATGTTTATATTTGTAATTTCTCCCTATTTATTTATGTTTTGAATTAGATGCCTATAGCCAGCCTGGTGAAAGGGGTGTATTTTTTTCCTCAAAAAGTGGACTTTTTTTGTTATTCGCTTCATTTTCTATTTAAATGTTGCATTTTAGTAACATTTAGCACTATTTTTTGCTGGATTAGCTTGTCGGAGGGTCATCTAAACAAAACTTTGATGTACCAAAAACATTTTCTAAGATTTAGGATAAAGAAATGTGCAAACAAGACTTGTTTTTAAAATATAAATTTATTAGATCATATATTAGAAAAAAACGGAACTTGTTAATGTTTAAAATAATAAACTGTAGCCTCTTGTCATTTATTAGGCAAATAACAAACCGGTTAGTACATTAAACTTTCCTCAGTCAGAATTTTACATCGAATTTGGTACGGCATGATTTCAGAATGGGAAATTCAGTGCCGACAGTCAACACGGGATTCCGATTGATCTCTTTCGATTGATTATTTCCACAACTCCTTAGCAGTAAAGATAGGACAAATAGGTTCATGTATGGGACAAATTCTTGACTTTTGTCAGTGAGGGGTGGGTTTTTAGAACCCGAACTCCCCCCATTCTGGCCTGATAATGGGAGCTTAATCTATCTTTAAATAACTTCTAACCTTGAAAAGTTTAAAGGATTTTTAATACTTTAAAGTGATATATTGTCTTGGTTGGTGTTGTACATTACCTTACAAAAACCTTGTAATAAGCTGCCAGTACATTTTCTCTTATTTGACAGACTTAGTTCTCTACAGAATATATATTTTTTCTTATACATTATATTTTGACAAACTAAAATGTCAACAAGTTACCTTGTTAATTTTTACAGTTGAGTTTTCCCACATTAAATACAGTGTACTTTACCAAAGCTTGGGCTCAAACATTGGTTTTAAAAAAATTGACCCATTGATTTAAAAAAAATAATAATAGTAATCGTTTTTAAAGTATAAGTTGCCCTGTCCCATATTGCATTATTTTAGAGATTTTCAGTCTAAAAGACATCTAGGTATTGTATATATGAGCCAGCTTACACAGTAAAAATAGTTCCATCACAAATGGAATAATAAAGTATTATTTAGATGCATATAATGTTAGACTGTTCTACCTAGTGGAATATAGTACTGTGCTAATTTATTCAAACATCTATGCAATCATTGAGGATGGCACGTTGGCTAAGTAGTTAGTAATGTCACCTCACAGCAAGAAGGTTGCTGGTTCGAGTTCCGGTTGGGCCAGGAAGCGTTTCTGTGTGGACTTTTCATGTTCTCCCTGTGTTGGCGTGGGTTTCCTCTGGGTGCTCAGGTTTCCCACATAGTCCAAACACATGCATTATAGATGAATTGAAAAAACTAAATTGTCCGCAGTGTATATGTGTAAATGTGAGTGTATGGGTGTTTTCCAGTGCTGGGTTGCAGCTGGAAGGGCATTCGTTGCGTAAAACCCATGCCAGAATAGTTGGCGGTTCATTCCTCTCTGAAAGAGACTAAGCCAAAGGAAAATGAATTAATTTGTTCATTAAATTGATATTAATTTCTGTTTATTCATTTTAATTTAATTTGCATTTATTTTATCGTTATTTAAATTAATTTTAATTAATTTTATATAATTTGAATAATTTATCATTAATGAATTATCATTACTATATTAATAATTGTATTCATTATTATCTATTTGTTACTTTATGTCTTTTCGCCAAACATTTACATGGCCACCCAGTATTCCCTTGTGGCCCTGAATGGCAGTTTAAAACTTTATAATCTATTTAATAAAAAATGCAGCACAAAAAATATAAATAAATAAATAAATGAATGAATAAATGATAAACACAATAAAAAAATAAATAATAAAAAATAAATATATAAATGCTTTCAATTTAAACAGATTTTCAAAAATAATATATTTAAAATTATTTATCATGCATATTAATGTAAAAAAATAAAATAAAAATAAACTAGTATTGTTCAATACACATTTTGCTTTTAGGACATCTTTTTTTAAAATGTTTTGATCCACTTCAAATGCTGAATACTGTTTATATATGTGTTTTCTTTTATCAAGAGATTAAATATTTGATAATTAATTAATAACGCTGATTATCAATGGATTGTTTGCTTTCCCAGGCTCCCAGTGTAGTAGGATGATCCATAAAGAAGATGCCAGAGCTCTACAATTTCCTGATGGAGCGATGGGCATTATAGTATCCTGACTTTAACAATTAAGTTCCCTTTTTCTCCATCATAAATCTTGTTTTTGTTTTTTTGTGCCAGCTTGAGTGTCTATAATACTGTGTTCATGTTTCTTGACATGAGTGCTTTTGCTAAGGCAGTGTTTGACAGGGAAGTAAAACGTTAATGAAATCTTTACAGGCCCGGAGAGCTGCCATATGTTTAAACAATCTCTCAGCCTCAGAGGACAGTTAACCTTAACCTGTTGTTTACAGTCATAACCTGGAGTATGATTCAGGGGAGGATAAAAACCCGCGCCTCATCTTCTACAACGACAAGGATGAGGAAGTCAAGGTGATTATTTTATCTACATCTATTCTATATTGTATTTACATCACTTGCTCAGCATTGCTATTTTCCCCATTGAACAGTTTTTTATAGTTACTTTCTAAAAATATTTCACGTCTCTGCTCTAAATCATATTTTCAGTCTGACATAAAAGTGACAATAATATGTGACCTGGTGGTTTTAAACATGGTCAGATTTTTTCATTAAAGTATGTAGAAAAAAAAGGAGAAAAAATAAGAGAAAAATTAAAACCCATTTAAATCCCAAAATTACATAAATGAAAAATCTAAGGTGACAAAGTATAAACAGAAAGAATATAGTCATAATAAAAACCAATATAGCATAAAATAAATAATAATAAATTAAAATCTTACGTTACATATACAAAAGTAGATAAAACTAGCATACATATACACACAAATTAAAGTATTTTTTAATAAAAACAGCAGAAACTACATATAGGAACAGAAGGAATATATATTAGCAAAAAATATTAAATACAAAATTTAAAAAGAGCAAAGTTCAAGAGAGAGAAAAAAAAAAGTTTACAATTCTGTTGAAATTTTTAGTTAGCAATTTTCTTCCCCAATATTTTGCATGAATTTATCTTTCTATTTTCTAAAGATGCTCTGTGACTAAAATAGTATTTTAATAGCAATTTAATAAACCTGTTTTGTTCAAAATGTATTTCCTACATTCACTAAGAAATGAATACAAATGTTCAAAATGGGCTGTACTCAATTATGCTGAGCACTCTATATGTAAATAAAGAGAATGGCCAGACTATACCCATCTTTTTTTTTTTTTTTGATTATTTAAGAGTTTACTTACTAAATAACTAAATTGGCAATCATAAATCTTCATACCTAAATGTAAATTGTGGCATACCACAAGGATCAGTTTAGCTCCAATATTGTTTATAATTTACATTAATGATATGCTTAAGATATCAGAGTTGTTTAAGCTTATTTTATTTGCAGATGATACAAGTATCTTTTGTTTTGCAGATAATTTACCAAAACTTATGAAGTTGATTAAAACAGAAATTAATAAATTAAAATTGTGGATTGACGTAAACAAATTGTCATTAAATAAGAAAAACAAAGGTTATGTTATTTGAGAAATAAATTAGTCATAATATAGATTTACAAATTGAAAATGAAGTTATAGAAAGACTATATGCAACGAAGTGTCTTGGTGTTGTATTGGATCATAAAATTTGTTGGAAACTGCAAACAAACAATGTGATATCAAAATTAGTAAAAAAAAAACTGTAGCAATAGTGTATAAAGCAAGATTTATCCTGGACAATAAATCAATGTATGTATTATATAACACACTTAATGTTGCCATATATGAGTTATTGTATTGAAATTTGAGGGAATACATATAAATCCAACTTACGATCCGTATGTACAATCCAAAAAAAAAGTAATTCTGATAGAACATGTTTATTAAGCCCATGACAAACTTAAAATAGAAACAGAATGAACTCTAATATACTATATATTGAAATAATATATAAATTATTTTAAAAAGATAATAGCCAAACTATACCTATCTTTCTATCTACTAAAATGTTATTTGAAACTATATAAATAAATGTTTTTTAGAATAAAATGTATATGTACTTTATAAAAAAACAACTATTAAAAAAGGACATTTGACAAAAATTAGGTGTTTATATATTTGTCAGTTGGGTAAAGTTACCCTTAAAAAAAGAAATATTACAATCTAAAGCCTATTATAAACTTAAAAAAAAAAACATGCAAAAAAAAAAAAACATGCTTTCACATTGCTTTCATAAAAAAGTAGCATTTAGTTACTTACAAAAAAGTGACTCAAGATTGTAATAAATTACTTTTATCTGTAAAAACTTTACCCAGCACTGGTAACTATCTGTTCAGCATCTATGACTATTTCTGACACGAGTTTTGTTCCCACCTCAGGTTGTTCCTGTGAAAAAGATGAAAGCAGATGAGATCAGCAGTTTGCTGGATTCTCTGGGTTTCTACAAGAGGTCAGAGAAAGGCGAGGAGGTCCCGGAGGAGTTCAAACATTTCCCCCTCAGAGCGCCCCGGGACGAGCTGTGACACCCGCCGGTCAGCGCTGGTACTGCAGCCTCCAGCTGGTTATGACGTCCAGATTCTCAAAGCCGCAGACACGGACAGACTCTGGACTGAAACACACACAAACACACGGCTGGAGGCGGGTTCAGCCCAAAACTGCCCTAATCACAGATATTTTACAATAAACTTCGATTTCTTATACCTTTGTTGTTTTATTGTGAAAATCAAGCAGATGACACATAAACGCAATGAAAGTCGGTATAAAAGAAAGCAGGAGAAAAGTCGTCTAGTTGTCAGAACAAATGAGACGCTCAACTGCAGAGTCTTTAATTTCTAAATAAAGTGGTTAATCAAAATTAGCTGTCAAGGATCAAACAAAACTATAGTTGTTTTTATTATTAAAAGTATAGACTGAGAACAGCTTTCACATAGTTTCACCCTCCAAAAACAAACAAACAAAAGTATTAACTAACATGGGAGACACAAATTTACAAATTATGACTGTGCATTTTTATTATATTGTAAAGTTTTTATATATACACATCTAAAATAGTGGCCAAAACCTACTTAGTGTAATTTATTAAGCTTTAAAATACATACAGAATTTTGGTCAGTAAACCCCACTAAATTGCATTTTATTTAAGTTTTTAGGTGTTTCATGTGCCAAAAAAAAAAAACGTGAACAAATATTTATATGTATATTTGCCGTAAAATTAGAATTAGTACAATATTATTCATGAATTAATATGATTATACAATGCTAATGTAAATACTAAAAGAACAAAACTAATATATTTAAAGTTTTATGATTTACAATAACAACTCTGAATGTAGAATATATACAGGAATAAGAGAGTGAAATTCAATACCTTTTAAGACCTTTTACATGACTCTTCCCATACTTTAGGTTTCAACCGGAAACACTGGCAAGATTTTAACTTACAGTATGATTACTAAGTATTAATGTAAGAAACTAATCTAAAACCAAAACGTTATTAATATACTGAATACAAATCTATTAAATCTAGCTAATTCAGCAGGTTGGTACCTATAAAACTGCAGAAATAATGGTATCGCCTGTTACTGCACAAAGCAGAATGATGTATTGCAGGATTGTAGCAGGATTGTATTGATTTCATAAACTATACAGCACCCTGATATTCGCAGATTTAATTCAGGCAAACTTTAGCATACATTGCATACATTTTATATAATTTTTTTCGTTATGCTAAGTAACATTTAAGACTTTAATACTTTAAGGTCCTTAAATTTCTCTATGATTTATCAACTTTTAAGACCCCGCAGACACCCTGTATTGACAGACTTATATATTTTTCTGTATAATAAAAAGCATTGGAAAAAGAAAAATATGAACATTTTAATTCAAAACACTAATATTTCCTCTGTTTACAGTAAAACACAGTAGTCAACATTTGAAGTGGATCATCACCTTTAACCTGTTGCCCAGCACTCACTTTTGGGAATTTACACCAACCTAACTTTTTTAGTAACAGTTCCTGACTCCAGTAAGCTACAAACACACTTTAGGTTTCATTGGAAAGACGCTTTGAGATTTACTGATAAAAGGAAAAGTTACATGCTCAAAAAATAAAAATAAAAAGGTATACATTATGAAGTCATGAGAAAAAAAAAATTGTATTGTGTTCAATATTTGTTTTTCCATATACATCTTTTTGGTGTAATCTATTCATAAACACTGACATGTGGATGTTTATTAATCAAAGTTGTCCTAAAACTATAAAACAAAAATATGTTACAAAACATTTGAAGTGAATCAGAATGGATAGATTAATGCAGGGGTCACCAAACTTGTTCTTGGAGGGCCGGTGTCCTGCAGATTTGAGCTACAACTCTAATCAAAAACACCTGAACAAGCTAATCAAGGTCTTAAGCTGCGGTCACACTAGAGTTGGGCTGTTCCTCAATATGCGTTCTTCAGAGGTCTTGTGTCCTCGTGTTCTCGTGCAACGGCATCATCAGCTGCCTAAGTTCAGTTCCAATACTCAAGACCGCAAGTACAGAGGACGCGTGAAACTTCCCGGATGTGTTCTTGATATCGAGGACGCACTGCTGCAGGCTTGAGCAGCGAACTCGCTCTGGAAGTCCCAGAAGTCATTGCGACTGGAGGTGGGAAGCGCTGCATTTTATTTAGATTTATTATTAAAGTTCAGAGATATCACTTATTTACCTCAGGAGTTTCTCTGAAACTAAACATTAACATGGATATCTTAATAATAAACACATTAAGGGTTGTTTGTTTGCTGAAATTCGTATTAAAATCTGTTTTATTTATATTGTGCAGAGTATATTTATAATGTTTTTATGCAAAGTATATATTTTGAAGAGGGGGGAAACAATAAATCGTTGTATGAAGGCTGCAATGTTTAAATAATTTACCATTTAAAACACAAGAAGGTCATGTGACCATCAAGATGAACGCAGCATCCCATTTCTCAAAGGACGCGTTCTCTGCCCTTGCGGTCTCGTGAGTTAGTTCTTCCGAGGACACCTGGCAAGACCGCTCTCCACAAGAATGCAAGTTCATTCTCTGCGTTCTTGGAATTGAGAAACAGCCTTTGTGTGTGCGAAATTCTGCCGTACGGCGCTACGAAAAGGGGCGTGATTAACCAGATTATTAGAAATTTAAAAAGCAAGCGATTGCTCTATGTTTTAAATTTCTGTCCAGAGAGGTCATGTTTTGATCCTCGGTTGGTCTCACGCAGTCAAGTGATGTGATTTCACAGGTCAAAATTCACCAAGCTTGAACTTTGCACCGCAGCAACCTGCGAAACTTGACGCATGACCCTGCATTTCCGGTCTGACGCATTCTTGTGCGTTTGAATGGAAGTCTATGGGGAGACAAGTCCAGTGTGACCGCAGCTTTACTAGGTATACTTGAAACATTTAGGCAGGTGTGTTTAGGCAAATTGGACACCGTCCTCCAGGACCGAGATTGGTGACCACTAGATAAATGGATGATTAGACAAATGGATGGAGGGATAGATGGATAGACAGAGGGTCTAAGCTTTTACCTATGCATTCATTTACTAATCTATAAACCCATCTAATAATCATCATCATCTTTATTTGTCCATCCACTCATCTAACTTCACTTATTCACCCACTCGTTCCTCAAACCATCTAATCGTCTATCCACTCATATGAAAGGATAGACAGATGATGGAAGGATAAATAATAAATTAACTTTATATAAACCTGGCAATTAGATGACTTTGCAGATCATAAAAATAAAAACTCTGTTATTTAATAATGAAATGAATACTGAATATTCTTCATTTCTTGAATTCGTTGCATACATGGCTGCTGTATACCTCTGAGTGATGACGACATCTTAATCCAGTGTCAGACTCCATCTGTTTGTTGGGGTTTAATCCGGTTAGCTCTTGAAGACTCCTGTTAATCTGACTGCAGCAAAGGAGTGTGTAGGACTGAATGTGTGTTTGCTTGTGTTGTCCATCATGCCTGTCTTCTACACACCGATCCCTCAGAACCTGAGAGTGGGTCTGGCCAATGTCAGCGGCTCTGTCTTCATCAACAACAGGACCAGAGACAGCGCAGACTTTAAAGACCACTACCTGGAGAATGAAGGTAAGACGAACACTGGTAAATGTACTGTATTCTCTATGGGAGGGTACACATTTCTGTCACTCGTCTGTCACACTGCAGCGGTAGACATCCGGAAATATATAAAACAAGATTGTGTAATTACTGGCATTTATGTAGACAGCATCTGTGAATGAGACATAAACAAGGACATTTTGAGGGGTTTAAGCTGCAGAAACTATTGTTCAACCACAGGATGCATAATTAAAACTAGATTATACATGCATGCATACATTTCTTAATTTTTGATTTTTTTATCATTATTTCAATTATTCATTATTTCATACATTCATTCCTTATTTAACTTCATCATTTAATTATTTTATTATATTTTAATTCATTAGTTCATTCATTCATGCATTCACCCATCATTATTTAATTCACTCATTCATTAATGCATTATTCTATTTTAGTATTTCATTTATCAGTAAGTAATTTTATTCATTTCCTTCATGCATTCACCATTTTTGTTTTAATTCACACATTCATTATTTCATTTTTCATCTCATTAATTCAATCATTTCCTTGATTCATTAGTTCATTTATTCTTTCCTTCACTATTCTATTAATTTAATTCACTCATTTATTATTTTATTTATTCATTCACTCATTTATTATATATTTCATTAATTAATTCATTCATTAATTAACACATTATTTCATTTATTTCATTCATTAATTTACTCGTTTAATTATGTTAGTTCATTCATTAATTTTTTTATGCATTCACTATTTCTTTCTATTAAATTCAGTCATTTATTATTTCATTAATTATTTCATTTATTATTCCATTAATTCAATCAATCATCTAATTAAATTATTGTATCATTTATTATTTCACTTCGTTTGAGTAATTCACATTCGTTTTAGTAATTCACTCAATTAATAATTCATTGCTTTATTATTTCATTCATTAATTCATTTATTATTCCATTAATTCAATCTATCATTTCATTAACTTATTATATCATTCATTATTTCATTACTGAATTCACTATTCCATTCATTAATTCATTGCTTTATCATTTCATTCATTGAGTAATAGTTCATTTATTCATTCACTATTTTATTAATTAATTAATTCATTTATTATTTTGATTTATCATTTTAATATCTATTTCAATTGTTTCATTAAACAAATTATTAGTTCATTCATTCTTTATTTCATTCACTATACCATTAATTATTTAATTCACTTATTCATAATTTCATTCTCTCATTCATTTTATGAATTCACTCATTTAACAATTCATTGCTGTAATATTTCATTCAATAATTGACTAATTCATTAATTTATTCTTTCACTCATTCATTTATTCATCCACTCTTTTATTATTTAATTCACTCATTTATTATTTCATTTATTGTTTCAATATTTAATTTAATCATTTTATTAATTCATCATTTCATTTATTCATTCACTATTCCAATCATTATTTAATTCACTCATTTTATTAATTCACTCAGTTATTATTTATTCATTCATCATCGTGTTATTTACCATTTCATTCATTAATTAATTAATTAATTTATTCATTCACTCATTCATTACTGTATTCATTATGAAATGAAATAAAAGTGTAGCATTAGCATGTAGCAAGTATTTTTTTTCTATACCTTTAATACTCGCCAGTATTTCAAATAACAAGCATTTCTGAATTCTACATATAGCTTCTTTAAAATGTAACCGGTTGAGGGAAATTTTAATGAATGATTTAAATTTGAAGTGTCTGTGTTTAAGAGTTGAGCATCTTTTTTAGCTGACCTAACAAAACACAATCTGATGTGGTCTAGCGTGTGCGGAGGTGTCGTCTCATCTCCCGCTACAGATGATGCTCTACTTCAACATGTTTTTCTTCCCCTTCTGGTGGATCTCTGAGCTTCTGATGCTGCAGTTAAAGGTCTGTTCAAATACACTCATTAAAAAAAAGGTCACAGTATACTAACAATGGAAACATTAAATTGTTTTAAGTTTGGTAAACACTTCATTTTAAGATGTCTGCATTACTATAATAATTACATTTGTTGCATATTTACATGCAACTAACCCAAAGTAAATGTAATTAATATTATTCGGTTAAGTAAATAGTTAATCTAGTATCTTAAATGAATAGTAAATAAACAGTATCTAAAAATAAAGCATAACTATAGTTATGAATTGGGCTTTTTTGCCATTTTTTTTTATTTTAAGTTCTGAATTTTATATTTTATAACATGAATATATTTTTTTCTTACATTATATGAAATAATAAAAATTATTTTAAGCCACATAAAAAATTATGTATTTGCATAAAAAAATAAGTAAAATGTACTTATTGTATTTATATTGTACTACAGAAGTTATGATAAGAGAAGGGTTAGAGAGAGATTTGGTGGTACGGGTAGGTTTAGAGCTAAAGATTATGCAAAAATCACTTTTATAAGGGGTTTAAACATTTTTGTGGCAGCAATCTATAACTATAACCAACTTCTAATGATAAAAATGTAAATAAATATATATATTTACAATCAGTTCATAAAAACAGTCTGCAGAAACACTTTGATTGACATTCTCGCTTTGTACATGTCATCAGAGGGGGAAAGCCCCACCCATTAGTGATGATCTCTTCCCTCATTAGCATTGACAGCCCTGAGTGAGAAGCAGCTGTCCGCCATGTTACTCTTGTTTATGAATCTGCCACTATGCTGACACTTTACACATTTATAGCTTCGCCCTCTTTTGAAAAAGAGCACAATCTCAATTAAATTTAAAGTGACAGTCTCCAAAATGACAGTTAGGATCAAAGCACCAAGGGGGCCGCTTCAAAAAGTTATAAAACATTATTTGTGGGTTATTTTGAGCTGAAATTTTACATAAACACTCTAGGAACATCAGAGACTTACTTAGATCATTAAAAAAGGGGCATAATAGGATGGGTTAAGGAGTATGGGATGGAGTAACACATATTTTAAACAGAGTACAGCAATTAATTGCAGCATTGTAACAACTGATTAGTTTAAATGGTTTGAACAAAGTGGTTAATGTGACAAACTAAAGTGTAACCAGAATTTTCTATTTTATATGTTTTTAATAACCTTTTCTGATTGACTTTGGGAACTCTAGAATAGCCCAAAGGTTAATTAAACCATGTAAACAGATTACTAACTACAACCTTTATGATGGAATTGGTAATAAGTCATAGGCTATAATTCACAATTAATTTACTCAGCACGGTTAAGAATCATGCAAAAGGGTGAGAAATTATGATTTTCAAGTTTTAAAATAAATACACACACTCCAAAAATTGCTTGAGAGACAGTTTTAGTGAATTAAATGGTTATTTAATTGAATGCACAAACATCACACTCATAATAGCAGCAGCTTTAATGCAAGGCTCCTGCGGCCACAGAGATGTTCTGCATGCTACAGTTGCACACTCTACTGTTAACAGCTCAGCTATTCAACAAATAGCTGTAATTAACGCACAAGAGGTCTTGAAAAACACTGTAAACCTCTGTTCAAAAAAAAAAACTTGTAATAATATTCGAATAACATTTTTGAGGTCAGACTCGGGTTATGGACATTTAATTAAACAAAATAATAAAAGAACATTGTGCATCTATGAAGTGTGCCACAATCCACCTGTATAAACACTTCTCTCCCAATAAAACAAAACCCTTCTGCTTCCAACTCTAGAATTGAATGCTCTAAGCACAATTTGTAATATGGAGAGATGTCTCATACCTGCTTTTCTTTCTCTGTTCCTGTAGTTCAGTTATCTGCCGGTGTATTACCAGTGTCTTCTGGTCACAGGGATGGTGCTGATCAGTATATTCGAGGTGTTGCGGATGTACCTCGGATATGCTGGGAATCTCAAAGAGAAGGTAAAGCACACAAAACTCCTAAATTCTCCATCCGAACAGTAGTACACTGCAAAAAAAAAAGGAAAAAAATAGCAAATTAACAATTATTTTAAGTTGAATCAAATTAACTTTAGTCATCACAACTTGACTAAAGTCAATCAAACTGACTAAACACTTAATGGTAAAAATTATTGAAACTCAATTAACCTAGAATAAGTAAAACAACATAAACATATTTTTTGTCTTGTCATTAAATTTATTTTACAGTTATTTTACAGCAGAATTGGATTTTATTAAAAATAAATAAATAAAAAAAGTCAAATTCTTTAATAAAAAAAAAGCAATTTTTTTTATAATTACCATCAATAAAAATACCTAAAAAAGTTGTAATTAAATCACTTCATTTATTGTCAACTAGCATCAGAATTCATATTATGAATGAGTATTAATTTAATATACACCAGAAATAAAAGGCACAAAATCTGTCACAGGGGTAGTACCCTTTCACAAGGTGTATTGGTAAACTGCTGGACCTACCAGGCCCACATCAGGTACACTTTTGTACATTTAAGGTATGATGAGGTACACATTTGTACTTTTTAGGTACTAAGGTGAGGTAAAGGGTACCACCTCAGTGACAGCTTTTGTAAAAAAAACATCAAAAGGTCATCTTAAAAAAAAAAAATAATAATCATCTAAAAAAAAAAAAAAGACAAAGGGAATAACTATGAATGTAGTGACCACAGTTGAAAAAAATAAATAAATTACAAGTGATATCTTAATAACCAAGTAGCTCATGCTAGTGATACAAATGGATTAAAATAAATAAAATAAAACAAAACATTTCTAAAAGTAGAGGAAAGCGGACAAAACAAAAAATGAAATGTATTTTTATTTAATGTCATGTCAGCAACCAAGAATATTTTAATGGCAAGAACAGTTCAATAATAAATATTCAATTAAAGTCCAAAAACAAATAAAAACATAAATCAAATAAGCATAAAAAAAAAAAGATTAAACAAACACAATCTCTGGAATTAGTGAGTTAGTGAGAAACATCCATACACACTCATACACTACGGACAATTTAGCCTACCCAATTCACCTATACCACATGTCTTTGGACTGTGGGGGAAACCGGAGCACTTGGAGGAAACCCACGTGAACGTAGGGAGAACATGCAAACTCCAAACAGAAATGCTATCTGACTCAGCGACCTTCTTGCTGTGAGGCGACAGCCCTACCTACTGCACCACCGCGTCACCCTAATAATAAAAATATTAACAATTTAAATTCATCAACAACACCAATAAATAATACATAAGAAAAAAATGCATAATATTATTAATAATAATAATATACAAGAGAAAAAACTTAAAACAGTTTAAGGTTTATTTTTGATAAGAAATTAAACATTTGAAGTCTCTCCAGATAAAATAAAAAGTTGTCTAATAACATTAAGAACAGGGTATTCCACAAGAATACGCTTAAAAGTTTGGTTTCTATTGTCTCTAAAATGAGTGAACACAGCTAAACCAAATAAGCAAACAGAACTTATAATTAAATAAATAAACTGTGGAACTAGTGACCACAAATGTAGATTTAATCATTAATTATAAATTATTATTGTTATTATTTTTTTAATCCTCAGTTTCCTCTTGGTTCCCTGTAGGTTCCAGAATTAGCCGGATTTTGGCTGATCTCCTTCCTCTTCCAGCTGCCCATCCTGCTGTTCTTCATCACCGATCCGGACATCATTATCCTTCCTCTGGAGCGGGCCGTTCACTCGCTCTATCTGGCTTTCCTCCTGGGTGAGCTGATGGCCTCGTTCCTCGCCTTGCGTGTCATGACTCGAAAACTGGCCCAGCAGTTTCACATGAGGCAGTTCGGCCACGTCCAGGGTCTCCACACAGCAGAAGCTCTGCCCATGTTCGGACTGCCATATGGGGGCAGAAGTGTACTGCCTGTGCAGGACATCCAGCCTCACTGACAGACAGATCAGACACCAACTGTATATCACTTCTGCTGCTTAAAGACAGCATGAAACTTAAGCTGCAACGGTCTTTCATCCCTGTTGTGAACAGTAACTCAGCTACTAGACCAATTCTCAAACAAGAGAATAAAAAAAGAACTTGGGACAGATCTTTAGTCTATAAGTAGCCTAAATGGATGGTTATGGGACTGAACAGAAGATTTGCTATTAGCGGATCATGTGATTGACAGGTTTATTCCACCCACGTGAGTGTGAACATATCATGAATGTCACTGCTAGAGAAAAAGGAAAAATGACACAGGGGTGCCCACACTTTTTCTTATGAAGGGCAATAATCCAAGCTTGACTGAGAGCTGTGGGTCAAAAGTGAATATAGCAAACTGTATTATATTAAAGTTTCCATGGGTAATTCCCTAATTTATTTCAGAATTTTTATAAATAAATAGAATAAAAAAAAAAACTTCAACCATACACTCAAAAAATCAACTAGGCATGTATTAGATTTACAAAATAAAAATTTGTCAGATTGAAAAGAACAAATCAAGTTTACGTATGTTAAACGATTAATTCATGTTATTTGAAACTGAATCAAGAAATAATCAAATGAATTTGATCAGAACATGTTGATTCAATGAGACTGAGACGCTTCAAATCGACAATTCTCACTCTGGAGAGTCACTTCGCGCATATCAGTAGGTGGCGGTAGTGCGTTTGGATGTCACCATACGAAAACAACAAGAAGAAGTATCACCGCGTTTTCGGCACAGTTTGGGAATTGGTTTTCCCAAGAGCTTGAATGTTATGCATGTTATGTTGTTGGCTATATGTTTCTTATACATTTTATACTTTTACATTTTGAATAGGAGTACCAAAGTAAAGAAAGCTGTGTAAACTCAATTGGTAAGAAAAATGATGTTAACGTCCTACATGTATTGCTTGGGGATCAGTTTTCTTAAGAGCCAAGGTTATTTTGTTGGCTAAATGTTTTTTATACATTTTATATTACATATTACAATTTTGGATATTATATAACATTTTGTATCAGAATATTAAAGAAGAAATTTGTTTAAATGTGATTGGTGCCTGCTAAAGGCTATATTAAAAGAAATATATAAATACATATATATATAATATAAACATGTTTTCTGTCCTTTTTGTGTTGAATTACTTAATTTTAAATATTGCTTCATAGTATTTTCATTAAAAAATGTAATTTAAACAACAGGGTGAGGCAGTGGCGCAGTGGGTAGCACAATTGCCTCACAGCAAGAAGGTCGCTGGGTCGCTGGTTCAAATCTCGGCTCAGTTGGCGTTTCTGTGTGGAGTTTGCATGTTCTCCCTGCCTTCACGTGGGTTTCCTCCAGGTGCTCCGGTTTCCCCCACAAGCCAAAGACATGTGGTACAGGTAAGCTAAATTGTCCGTAGTGTATGAGTGTGTGTGTGTGTGTGAATGTTTCCCAGATGGGTTGCGGCTGGAAGGGCATCCGCTGCGTAAAAAAGCTTGCTGGATAAGTTGGCGGTTCATTCCGCTGTGGCAACCCCGCATTAATAAAGGGACTAAGCCGACAAGAAAATGAATGAATGAATTTAAACAACAATATTGAACAAGAAATTTACTAGCTGATTTAACAAGACATAATTTTGTTAAAGCTTTAATGTTATATTGAGTAATTAGAATCATTTTAATTAGAATAACACAATACAAACATTTTGGGTCAATTAATTGCAAAGAAGTTAGACCGACATATTAAAACCATGTTTTATCTACAAATGTGCTTTGTGTTCATACAACATGTTCAAAGCAGTTCAGGTTTACTTGATTGAATTAGATGCATAAAGGGTGCCACGATTAAATCATGTTCATTCAACAAATTTTTTTTTGGAGTGTATTTACTAATGCATTATAATATTTTAAAAATGTATATTATTTTAATGAACTCATTACAAAAAAAACATTAAAAAATCAATTTATAAGACAATTAGGGATGCAACGATTAACCGATTTCCCTATTAACCGTGATTTAATTCGCCATGGTTAATTAATCGTAAAGGCTTCTCAACACCGTAAACAGAGTTATGCCAACTGTGCACTAGTTTAAAGTTCCAAAATTGTACACTGAGGCTAAAACCCATGCACACAGGATTAACGATGGCTGAGGCTCTTAACCAAGGGCCATACACATATTGCATCTTATGTGCACGCAAGTTCGTTATTTTCAGTGGAGGTGCTTTGTTTGCGTGCGCAAATTGGCGAGGCGCAACACGGTCACGCAGGTTTTCCAGGCGCACCTAGTTGAAAGAATGACAAACGCACTGTGGCAAGAACTGGAACAATCAGCTTCATACTTTGTAAGAAATACCAAACAATTCTGTAATATAGATTAAAAGTGCCTTTCAGACAGAGGCTCAGCAGCCTTTGACTACATTTGTTCTCTTTAAAAGAAAAATACTTAGCCAATATGTAGCTTAGATATACATTAGACAAATACATTATTTATTTTGTCTTATTTATGCATTGTTCTGTCATTTATTTTTATTGTAAGATTATTACTTGTGTTTAAATGCTAGAAGTGTTTTGAAATTAAAAATGCATAATACTGGTGATAACTGTGAAACCGTGATCATTCCTCAGACTATAATCATGCAACCAAAATCTATAATCGTTGCATCCCTAAAGACAATGGAGTTCAATGATGAATACACTAGTCATGCTGAACCTGATATGCATGCTGATGTCTTCTGCTTTTTCTCCTTTTCGTTAAGTGACAGTATGTACATTAAAAAAAAAAAAATCTGATTCATTTACAACTAGGGATGCACCAATCCCGATACTTGGATCGGATATCGGTTTGATACCGTATATTTTTGCTGGATCGGGTATCTGCTAGCTGGCACCGATTCAAATGTGATATTGTATATGCGCTGTTTTCTGTTTAATATAAGCCAGCAAAAACCACGAAGGTAGCCTATTAAAATGCACTGGAAATGTCTCATGTAGGACTACCATATCCCAAATGTTCTGAAGCCATTTTATAGTTTAATGTGAAGCACAGATGAATATTCACGTGGTTAAATTCATGTTCAGTTTAGCGCTTCCCGCCACAGCGCCTGTCAATCATTTTCCATTCATTCACAATTCAAACTGCATGTTGCGTTCATTATAACACCAAAAAACTCCAAGACTATTTGTTCCTGTTAGTTTTAATAATCAGTGGAGAAATGCATTTAGTTCTGCATTAAATATACACACACAGAGACACACAAAATGATGTTTAACAGAGCAAGGAAATTTTCACAGTATGTCTGATAATATTTTTTCTTCTAGAGAAAGTTTTATTTGTTTTATTTCAGCTAGAATAAAAGCTATTTTTAATCTTTTAAAACCATTTTAAGGTGAATATTATTAGCCCCTTTAAGCTTTTTTTTTCTCAATAGTCTACAGAACAAACCATCGTTATACAATAACTTTCCTAATTACCCTAACCTGCCCAGTTAGCCTAATTAACTTAGTTGAGCCTTTAAATGTCACTTTAAGTTGTATAGAAGTGTCTCAAAAAACATCTAGAAAAAAATGATGCACCGTCATCAAGGCAAAGATAAAATAAATCAGTTATTAGACACAAGTTATAAACCATTATGTTTAGAAATGTGTTGAGAAAATCTGCTCTCCATTAAACAGAAACTGGGGAAAAATAAACAGGGGGGCTAATAATTCTGACTTCAACTGTATATATTAGTACTTTACATTTATGGAAGATGCACAAATGAAAACATACATTATAAACAATTGAATAATGCCCGTAATTATTTTATTTTTGTACAAAATTAAACTTTAAGTCAGCAAGAACACAAATTGATCAAAAGAAATATATGGTTACAAAACAAAAAAGAAAAAAAAGGAAAAAAAAAAAACATTAGGCTTCAGAGCTGTTAAGATAGATAATAATAATAATAATAATAATAATAATAATAATAATAATAAATGTTTAGAATATTAAAATAATATAAATAATAATCTTATTAGCTCAATAATATAATAAGAAAAATATTATTAAGAATACTGTTATAATGGCGAAAGCCGAGTTTTACCTTCACAGAAATCATTTAAAAAATAAAAAAATTTTATCATTATTATTACATTATCACATAAACTATCACGCCTAAGTGAACAGCAGATGTGCCTTGTGTTCTTTAACATTCTTTTTTCATGTATTTTTCTAAACCCAACCTCCTTATCATGTGTTAAAACAAACATAATGCTTACAAACAAATATTAAAATCTGACACATATGCACAGAGAATCGATAATGCACTTGCAAATGCTACAGTCTAGACACATGGTGGTGCTCTGAGACTGTTTCCATCAGCAGCGCACACTGCAGAACACAGAATGACTCATCAGCCGAATCTCCCATGAGCACAAAGACATCACACTCACACTCTCATATCCAACACTGGATATGACTGTCAAAGAAATATTCAGCATTAATACAAAAAAAGTTTGACAACAGTAATGAGGTTTTGCGGATTCAAAATGTATGAAGTTTCTATACAGATAAGCATTTATATCATCAACACAATTTAAGGCATTAATAAAAAGTTGCACAACTTTTTCAGAGGCATAATAATCTTATTGTATGTAAACTTGACTTTCAAGAAAAGTTATAACAATTTCTCAAACAATATCAACAAACAATAAAACATTTGATAATCGTAACTTACCTAACTACTTCATCATTCATATTATTTTCGGCTTAATCCCTTTATTAATCTTGGGTCGCCACAGCGGAATGCCAACTTATTCAGCTTATGTTTTTTTTAAGCATCAGATGCCCTTCCAGCCGCAACCCATCTCTAGAAAACATCCATACACACTCATACACACATGCACGACGGACAATTTAGCCTACCTGATTCAATTGTACCGCAGGTCTTTGGACAGTGGGCAAAACCAGGGCACCTGGAGAAAACCCACCCAAATGCAGGGAGAACATGCGAACTCCACACAGAAACGCCAACTGACCAACCTGAGGCTCGAACCAGCGACCTTCTTGCTGTGAGGCGACAACACTACCTACTGCGCCACTGCGTCGCCTACAACACATCTAATGTTAATGTATTTTAACAATACCCACATATGCATGTTATTCAAATTCATTATTACAGATCATTAGCCAAAGGATTTGTTTGTTTTAACAATTTCTGCCATGTGGGAGGTTCAATGCGCACACACACACACACACACACACACACACACACACACACACACACACACACACACACGCACGCATATGTTCTCTCTGGAGATCTAAGGGGCTTTTCATGAGCATGAAGATAAAGTAACTCCTGCACCATATTGACTTGTGTCTTACATTTGAGCAGTAATTTGGCAGTTCCTAGATTCTCCGTCTGAAATGTGTCTAATTATTCTTATAACAGATGGGAGAC